TTGCCCGTGTCCATCACCAAGATGGCCACCGGCAGTGAAGTGCACGTGTTATAACGTGCACACTGGGTGAGACTCGGCCTAGTGATGCCACTACTCTGGGAGTCATGTCTGTCACTATCTATCTTGCAATGCCTCATGGGACTTGTAGTTCCACAAAATCTGGAGGGCCAGAGTTGCCCACCCCTGGGTTAAATAAAACCTTTATGTTATGCAAATATCAAAATGATGGGTGGGTGTCGTTCTGGAGGAGTGGGCATTTCTTGGCATGCTGCATTGGCATGCAGACTGTCCTAGGGAACACAGACTTGCTGAGCCACAATGACCTGCTGAGCCAGACTGACCTCGCCCCTTTCCCAATGAAGGAAAGGGGTGAGGTCAGGGACAGTCAGGCTGGAGAGAAAAGTGCTAGATAATGCTGGATGTCCTGAATCCTGATAATGCTGAAATCAGAGGAAGCCATTTCAGGCCAGGAGAGGAGCCTGAGTGATTGCTAATCAATTCAGGTAAATGCACCTGATCTGAATGAGCCCCATACAGCACAGGAATCGGCCACAAGCGCGCTAAGTGTTGTGCTCCATCTTCTCTGATCCCCTCACTGGACCTAATAATGGCTCTCGGTTCTTATTTGTTTAGTCGATTTACGACATTGTGCATCTTATTGTTTAGGAGTCCACAATTGCCTCCCCGGGGAAGGTGATTATTGTGCTGGTTATAATTAACAGGCAGGAACTTATCTGTTTACATTGTGATCCTGTGGACCGGTTAATATCGGTGTCAGTGCGGCCCATTATGTAGCGCGCTGGAACAGGTGCTGCAGACTATGCTGCATCCGGCTTATGTGCCTGCTAGCTCTTTGCTGTTTGGGGGGCATTGATCCAAATACCTGCGTCCGGTCCATAGCCCACAGCCGTTATGTATCTTAGTGCCTATTTGTGCAATGTGCGGCAGCACAACAACATGCATTGCGTTGCCATGTAGTGAAAAAAAAAGTATTGCATGTACTAGTTTTTTCATTGCATGGCAATGCAACACATATGCAATTGCATGCAATGTTAAGGCTTGACACAGTGCTGTCTCTATAATGAGGCATTAGCCTGAGACTGTTAACTCAGGTGGCATCTCTTAGGGTCACGTGGTGGCATCTCTTAGGGTCAC